TGTCATCGCTAATGGTATCTGATATTGCGCTTAAAGTTACTCCCCGCTAGATCTCGGCAGGATTTCAAAATCTGCAGAGACAAGCAAATCGAATAGAAAGCCTACCACAGTTTGTTATTTGTAAGGTGAACGCTGAAGTCATTTATCTCATTTGCGCATGCTCAGATATCAAACCATATACACACCTACCTAGATACATGAATAAGTACAAAAAGGACATGGAAAAATCAATATTTACACTCGTATAGATATGAATCTATAAGTACATTCATACTAAGGTATATTAATTAGTACGCAATACCTAGATTACTATGGTTTATATGGATGAACATGGTGTATACATCTATGAATAATGATAGTCTATGATCAATTAGGAGCTCCGAACTATTGTATTTTAAACTGTTAATAGTACACTCTACTTGTCTATGAGTACAATTAATGACATATTACAAAGATCATCTATATGAACCTCACACTACTAAGCAAGCCCGACAGTTCTGAACCAGCCGGTTAGTTGATTCTTTTCCTGTTAATCTCAAAAGCCTTGGCATTTCCCCAGGAAGATGTCAATACATTTTGGGCGAACACAATTACCCTACTTTTGCAACAGAACTGCCTTCACATATAATGAATTCCAAATTCATTTCGGCCATGTTATCTTTGGCTGTGTAGTGAAATCGACAAGAAGAGCTACTGAAAATGCCAAGAGTGGCGTTTTAGTACTGGTACATATATATAAGGGTGTTCGATTTTTTAAAAGATTATTTATATATTTTTATTATGGGAGACATCACGGGCTGTCCAGCATCTTATACATCATTTTATAGGGCAATATTGTTCAATTATTCGTGCACAGCAGGAGGTGCTGTAAAATTAACTCATTCACCCCTGACATTTTTATAATGAACTATTTCAACCATTCAATTAGAAGAGTTCAAATGTGTCTTCAGGAGTAAGCGAGTTTTGGATCCCTGTCCTGCCGCAGACAAAAAACTACTGAGTATTCCATTGTAGTTTCTCTGATATACATGTACGGTTAATTCTCCTTATAATTGGACAAGGGCACTACCGCTGACCATGATCGAGGCTCCGTTGGTGAGCGCAACACTTTACCTATCTGAGGTCCAGGGTTTGAATCTTGATCTAGCCTAGCTGCTCTAATTTATAACCTATCCTCTGACGAGACAATTTTGATATATTGCGGGGCAGAGGGGGCCGGATATTGATATTAGTACTAGGGCTAGCCCTGCTGAATTTTTACATACGGAACTCTGGTGTTGATTATTTTTTGTTTATACTTTGTTTATTGTTTTTGTTATTATAAAAGTAACGGGTTTGGTTTACAAGTTATCAAAGTTTTAAATAAACCGATTTAAAAAAAATCTTATGTGGCAGTGGAAAGAGATTGATATTTACATTGCCATAACACTATGTTACCGTTGGTTGAATTTCTCAATACATAAACAATCAAATTTGTCTCGTGCACTTGCATATAGTCAGGAACTGTCTTATTTTGCATATATGGAACTTCATGTGTTTTGTGGAATGGTTAACTTCAATAGAGTGGGTAGCTTTAATACTTGTATATCACATTAAGTTTGTAATTTCGTCGACCGTTTTTCACATTCCTGTTTAGCAAAAGCTGAGATGGTTCGGAATAAATGTAACTAATTCATTCTGGCGGTGGGTGATAATAGTCCTGTCGGTCAGCGAGCCAGGCGCTGCTCGGACATCATTCAAAATGACCTTCTTAGCGCGCGCATATACTTCAGAGGTCATGTATTGTTAACTTTTTAACATTACATTCTAAAAATGTAACACGGATTTGAAATGGAATATGATATGCATTAATATTATTAAAAACAAAAAGTTATCGAAAAATTCTCTATAACACTTTAAACTACCCTGGGGGACTCTTTATGAGATTTTTTTCTCTGTTCTAATTATTTCTTGGTTTGTAAGGAAGAAATTATACTAGTCATCTGATCTGCCAAATATCGCATTAAATGAGTTTCGTTAAATTACAGGAACTAAATCCCGCCCCCTCCTATTCAATTAATTTAATTACTTTTAAGTTACCTTATCTCCAGTGAACACCGTTGTCATATGGCCCTAGCTGTTATGATAAACAGGCATTTCTCATCTGAAACACGCTGTGCGTTTCCTTAAAATCATTTTAAAGCTAACCATACCCCTACTAACCAAAGACTGACCGAATGCGATGTGTGTCCATGCACATAATAAGGCTAGTCACAGCATTTTCCTGCGTGACCTCTTCCAAGGTCGAACTTTGGGTCTGTGTAGCACGCCCTGGGCGTATTTACCCAGGCCTAGCCGACACACAGTACATAGTACATATATATACATACACATAATACAGACGACGGGCGATAAGTGCCGGATTACGTCACAGGGTTTAAATGATAGGACCGACGGACACTAGATCAATAACAGGGTTATATCAGGTCCCTGTCAGAGCATTAGCAGTTTTAAAAAGAAAGCCGATAGATTTTACTCGTGCATATATCTTTGTAAATCAACTTTTGAACACCGATCTCTTAGCGTGTATGTATGTGATGGGCATGGTTTTAAATTTGAAACCTTCAATTTTATTAAGCGTACTCGATGTAGGTTTATTTACGTGTATGGGAAGGTGACCAATCTTTGGCTCTCGGACCATTACCCCTTTCTGTGTAAGGTTGCGAACCTCCCCAGTCAACTTATAATCCGGCCACTGTTAGCCTACAGATTAGCACATCAGACTACTACTGACCAATCAAATTGAACGTAGTGTTTCCACGCTGTTGGGCTGCCTGCCATGTTATGTAATATTGCACGCGATTGGGTAATATTATGCGTCATGGCGGATATTGGGCTGTCCCCTCGGTACAGGAATACTAAGACGAGATAAACAGATTAACGTGTTCACAGGGGTTGAAATAAAGGTGGAGGGACTCATTACCCCAGACCACCTGTAATGTTAGGTCATTCGTTAGGGGTCGAATACATAATAACGTTCATGCAAACATAGTCTGGGTATGTTAGGATCATCCATTATTGGGTCAAATGTTTTTCTGTAACGAATGTAAGCACTTAGCAAGTAATGAGGGGTCTCCCATTGAGTCTCGAAGTGAAATTGGCCAATAAAATGTATCGCTGTGACATATTCGGAACAAAGGGTGTTACGTGGGAAAACCGGCCGCTGCAAGCAATATACTATCAATAATCGCGGCCTCCTAAATTAAAACCCTGCTACCGTCTGAGAAATTGTTAAATATTTGCAGTATTTGCCCTTTTGTCTATTTTGCTTTTCAATATTGGCGACATTAAACGACACCTGTGTATTGAGAATAATCACCTGCAAAGTGTGACACTGATATTTGCGATGTTTGATGACGATGCGGCGGCCATCTTATTACCGTTCACCAGTATCGATAATGAAGCGGCAATCCTGATGCTAGACCTCCTCATTTAAATGATATGTGTCTTGCATAGGACTTTGAAGATTTAAATCTGATTTAGTGGGAAAGTAAAGCCAGTAAATATGGCCATTTCGTGACACATCAAAGACATTCCTATCGTAATGTCCAGTCCAATCATTGGACCGTGAACACTGGTCAAGGCGTCACGGTGGACGGACCTGGTTTATCAATGACGTTAACAGCTGCCCGGTAAAGATCACTGTGGCGTTTTTAGCTAGCGCTGGTGCAGCAGGACTTGTCATAAAGCACGTGTATTGTCAAACATCGTTTATGTAAATAACAAAAGGTCTCCATGCTTATATCTGTCCCCGACCTACATATATCTGTCCTTCACGTCCAAACACAAGTCGTAAATTTCATGGCAAAACAGAAGTATCTGTTTGTTATTATATGGGCCAAAGATATAATAACTTTGCAGATATGTTTGTTATTATATATATATATTTCTTTTTTTGTGAAGGTTGTTATGACCTTTGATATTTTTCGGTTATTTATTATAATACCGAATGGTATAACTAGTACGCGTCCAATAATTATTTTAATTTATTTCTTCAATTTAGTTTTGTTTTTGTTTTTGTAAAAAAGTTTTTAAAAGGTTGGAAAAATTATCAAGATTTGAAACTGTTTTCTTCGGAAGCAATTAAGAGTTGCGTATTTAAGGAACTTTAACAAGAGCATTACATTTTATATTGTGAACACTATCAGTAAGATTTAAAATCAGGATTTTCTTGACAACTCGCAAGTCACGACTCAGAAAGGACTATCTTTTATTTTCAAATTCAAACATCCCGTAAGAGATTGAATATATTAGTCCTCTCTGCATTTGATTAGAACATCCCTTTGGACTCCCCTAAACTAGAGTACAACACCCTTTTGTTTCCCCCATATATTTGATCTGAACATGCCTTTAAAGTTCCCTGCATTTGATCATAATTCATTGTATTTCTTTGCATTTAATCTGAAGATCCCATTGTTTTTCATTTCATTTAGCCTGACCATCCATTTTTTTTTATCTACATTTGTCTGATTATCCATTTGTTCATTTATTTTGAACATCCGTTTGTTGTTCTCTACATTTGATTTGAACATATTATTGTTTTCCCTCTACATATATTTCGAGCATCCGTTTGTTTTTCCCTACAAGAACACCCCATTGTTTTCCCTCTACATATATTTCGAGCATCCGTTTTTTTCCCTATATCTGATCTGAACATCCGATTGTTTTCCCTCTACATATATTTCGAGCATCCGTTTGTTTTTCCCTACAAGAACAACCCATTGTTTTCCATCTACATTTATATTGAGCATCCATTTGTTTTCCTGATATTTGATCCGAGCATCCCATTGTTTTCCCTCTACATATATTTTCAGCATCCGTTTGTTTTTTCTTGCATGAACATCCCATTGTTTTTCCCTCTACATTTATTTTGAGCATCCATTTGTTTTATCCCTACATTTGATATGAATTATATCATTGTTTTTTTGCCCACATCTGACATATAACTTGTTATTTTATAGGTACGCCATATATCCCTAGTTACATGGACATGACGAACGGCCCCGAACCGTGTGTTGTGTGTGGTGACGCGGCCACCGGCTACCACTACAGGTGTATGACGTGTGAGGGATGCAAGGTAAGTTAACACCGGTGCAGGTTACATTACAATGATAGATCCAGGAATGGCGTCCCCTCTCTTTATTTCGACCCCGAAAATATATTTTCATTAACGAAATGACAAGTTACAGTTTGGGAGAATTTCATTGGAGAGGGACCTCCCCATACACTTCAGACTGGAACAGCGATGGTTTTGGAGTTCTGAACTTTGCCCCCCCCCCCCCCCCCCCCCCCCCCCCACACACACACACAAACACACACACACAAACACACTTCCTGTATCTTCCTCTGTATCAGATAGGTTTACATCCTTTGTAATAGGAGGAAGGTATAAAATAAAAATTAAGCAAAATTTTATAAAGAAAAAAAACCCACCCACCTGAACGAATTCATGAAATGGCAAATCCATTGGAATAAGGCACAAAACAATTACAATCTACTCATTGTGACGTAAACACACGTCACAAGCTACTCAAACATATTTAACCTCATAAAAGCGACAAAGTTAGGCAGAGCAAGCCAAACGCCTATCACAAGACCTTAATTTTTCAATATTTCATTTCTAACTTCATGGACAGATGTGAAGCTAAGTCAGACAGATAGAAACAGAAATATAGACCATTGACCATAATCTGATTTGTTTTATTTCAGGGATTCTTCAGAAGAACCATTCAAAAGAACTTACAATACCATTGTAAATGGAACAGTAACTGTATAATAGACAAAACTACCAGGAACCAGTGCCAGGAGTGTCGTTACCGGAAGTGTGTTCAAGTTGGCATGGCAACTGATCGTAAGTTCCGTTCGATAAAGTACACGTGCACCTTTAATCAATACCCATTGATTGGATAAGGTAGAACATTTATACCTACAATAGTGATTTACCAGGCAATATATAAGTAGCAGAACATCTTCCATCTGAAGCCATCTTTTAATGTCTCAGAACACATTGATACCAAAACGCACCTCCAGTGATTGTGTCTTTGATGTCCCAAATCCCTCTTTCAAAGATGGATACTGATTCATGGACACAATGGTAGTTGATGACACTGAAGACACAATTGAACTCTTCCAATTCAACGGTTGGAATAGTTCATTATAAAATTTCAGGGATGAATAATTTAAGGTTTGGGGAAGGATGCAGTTCTTTTGAAGAGTCAAACTCTGCTTAGTTTTACAGAAAGACAATGAAAGTTGAAGCATATAAATCAATTCAATTTCAAGAAGATTGTCTTTGCTGTGGATTCTGGTGCAATATTTGTGTACACAGCATATTCGAAAATAACTGTTGTCTCTGTTTCGTTTAGGTTTATAAACGAATTTCGGAAAATAAGGTAGTGTTAATGAAACATACTGTGACACTCTTTTTTTTGTGTGTCACGGATACGTATTACAATAGGCTTGACCTTGAGATGGTCCAGCCGAGGTGATATCATGTGATTATAGGTACAAATGATCACATGTTACAACAGTTTCATTTCTTTTTCAATTACTGTCTTAAATTATCTTAGCCGTTTACAGGACGTTAAACTATATCAAACCATACCATACCATACCAAACCATACCATACCATACCATACCATACCATACCAAACCAAACCAAACCAAACCAAACCATACCATACCATACCAAACCATATCATACCATACCATACCATTTTCAATAGCTGTGTGAGCTGTGAAAATGTCAATGCAAAATTTGAAATTATTAATATTTTAGGAAAATTAAAACTGAAATTAAAACATGCAATGCGATTCAATATGACCACCGTCGGTAAATGTGTACAAAACTACTCATATAACATTATAAAATTGTCAAAACACAAAAGCTGAATCGTCAGGTACAATGCATTCTACAAACACCCCGATATGTATTGATAAAACTGTATCCAGGTACAATGCTACAAATACCCCGATATGTATTGATAAAATCTGTATCATCAGACCTGAAGGTACAAACAGTCATATTTATATGGAAACCAAGTGCTTAGTTGAGGCTACCACAACCACACAAATACATACACACAAACACATCCACACACACACACACCCACATACACACACACACAGCTACATGTAGCATTGGGCAAAGGCTGACCAGTACAATTGTCCTGAGTATTCAGGTCAATTGGCAACCAGCCAATTTGTACAAGGAACAGTGAATTGGGAGTAATAGTATCGTTAGTAATAATCTACGTGCTTTCGATCTATACTGGCCGCTCGATTCTTGTTTACCAGTGGACTTGAATAAACCCATGCCATGACCTTGTCCCAAGCTATCAGAGCACTATCTGAAGACTTGATAGAGTATGCGTCATTTTAAAAGCGTGGTATATTATATGAAAGAAAAAATGTCTGACACTTTGTTATTATATATTGGGAAAGTAGAATGTGATCTCAAACGATGTCTGACATTCTGTTTTTATATTTTGGGAATGTAGTATGTTATCTGAAACAATGTCTGACATTTTGTTTATATATTAATATTTTGGGAATATATTAGTTTCTCATCTGATTGGTATACCCATAGGCAAGGAGAATAATAAAACAATGAATATACAATGTATGTACTAATAGAATGCGTCAGATTAAATGAGATGTCATATGGGAGCTGTTCAATATAGATTATGTATGACATATCAGAGGCAGCTTCATCTGTGATGAGACATGACGTCATTATATACGTAGAGATATTCTACAGGAACGTGTGCTGGGGACGTGAACATATATTGTACATTCAATACCTCACTTGGCCTTAAAGATTTAAACCCAAGAATCAGGCCTTATTTCTTAATATACAAAACGCCACGGTGTCACGTGAAATCACCAAAAAATGCAAGTAAATTTCACTTCTCTATTTTCATTGACGACTAATTAAAATATGCTAGATGTGGTTAATATGATTTACTACTCTTGATTGGTCGAGTTTATTAGTAATGAAATTATGCTCCGAATGTCACGATTTCTGTAAAAGAAGTCGGTTTCTGACGGACTAGCCCTGCTACTGACGCTTGTATGTACATGTATTGGGGGGTCTTCCCAACAATATGTTACCGTCCAAGTATCTGGAGTTGAACTACCGTCACTTACAACGCACGAATTCAAGAGATGCAGGCTAATGATGACACTATGCTAGTTTTAATGTCGCTAAAATGATCTCGTAGAAAAATATTTCATTTCTTTGTGCGATATGAAGGTCAACATTTTCGATTATGTTTATTTACCACTCCGGCTCTCACTTTGAGGTCCTGGAGTTTTCGGATTTGACCTAAATTTGCATGTTAACTCTCGTCTGTGAAACAGAAGACGCTTACCCTTCCGCCACCACCTGGTCTTATTGTCGTTGTACATTTTCTATGGTATCCATGTTAACTTAATATGCTTTGTTCACAATCTGTCGAAGTTTCATTGATTAAGAATTTTTTATTGTGCTTTTGTTTTGTTTTTGTTGTTTATGCTTTCTTAGATTTAAGGAAAATGTAAAGGCTTTGATAAGTTTTAGGCTTAATCAAAATGACGCCGTGAGTCTAGTCAAAGGATAAAAAGAATTGTTGATATCAATTCAGTGTGCCGTTTACTTTTTAATGTAGCAAGCATATTATCGTTCATATTAAACTGTAAAACATAAATTACCTTATCAAAATGGGTTTCAATCGTTATGTCAGGGATATCCTTTGACTGCCTATCACCTGTTATCAATGTCACCCATCTATTACCTAACACTAAAAGTGAACCGACTAATCTTGAGAGAATTTATAGCTTTGTTGACCCACAAGGCTATACTGTAAAATATATCTTATCTAATTATTTGTTTCGTTTTTGTAATAAGGTTGAAAGGACAATAACACTAACATGACAATCTCAAGTAAGCATGGATATGTTGTTTAGTTTTAAACACTTTTGTTGATAATGACAGATATTTTGAGGAATTAGACACATTTCAGACCTAATTTTTGTCTTTTCCATGCACCGCATCATGACCACAATAGCGAAATGATCTAAACTCCATAGTATGGCCGTGTTTAATGCATGTTGTTCAATCCTATCGATATACCATCGCAATCGTGAACAAAATTTGTTGAAACGAAATATAACATAATGGCCATTGTTTCATTTTCCGCCTCGCTTACCGCCAAAATATCACAGGGTCCCATTTGATCTCTTTTATTGAGAATTCCTTTATTTAACCGACGGACTCCTTGCTAATACCAAAGTTTTTCTTTTGAACAAATGATGGCAATGCTAGGAGGTTTTAATCTGTTGTATATTTTCCTTCTGTTCTACTTATAAAAACCAGATGTTCCAATTTCGGTCTGGCAGATCGATTTCGTAAAAGGCAAACACGTTGTCCATATAGAGTCGTGTTTTACTTTAACACATGTTTTGATCTTTTAAATTTGTTAAGTATTTGATCAGATTTAATTTAAATCGGCTTGTAAGACTTGAATAACATAACTGTTGTTTTTTTAAGCTGTTTGTTTGGTTCATTTGTCAATAATCTGTTGGCAAATATTACATTTGTAGGAACAAAGTTGGAATCTATGTTAATTCGATATCCAAGTGTTTATTCAGTAATTTGAATATATTGATAGAGGTGTTTGGCCATATGGTCTGTTATTTAAACCGCTAAGAAACAACATAGTTCAGTTAAATGTATAAAACGCACAAAACATTAATTAACTATATGATATATTTCAAAAGTAAATCGAACAACACATATTTATATATATATCAATAACTCTTCTTAAATATGTATATATCGTCAACAATTTAGTTTGTAAGCATTCATCACTATAGGAACTAAATAATTTTAATTTAAAGGTGTTATTGATTTAATAAAATATTTCATTCGCAGAAATATCCTCCAACAAACACATCCTTCAAATAAATAAATAAATAAATAAATAAATAAATCTGAACAATCTCCCGTTAACTTCCCCTTTTTTTCTCTTTCGGATGTACATAAAATAGACATAAAACCACTACAGATATGATGAACAATTTCTGTCAGATCTCTTTTTTCATGCAGTAGATACAAAATAATACCAACAAAACCATGTAGTTTTTCTAAATTCAATAAAGAGAAAAACATTTGATGACGCCCATAAATGAAATCAAGGATACAAAAGCCGCCTGACAGGCCTCATTTAGTTATTAAAGAGTATAGGAAATCAGTAACATATTATATTCATACGTTATTCAGTCGTTAAAACACGTTTGTACGAGTAATATGATATGATGAGCTAATCACGTGTCACCAATCCGGGACATACCGAGGGTATTCGATTTCCTAATTAGAATGGTTTATGGTATACTCGGGATGGACACAATAAGTCATTAGAATGGTCAGCAGCAGATTATACCGAGTCCAAAGTCCAAAGTGGACGTCACGTGACCTCCAGGCAGCCATATCGCTGAAGTATTGATCGTCTGCTCGAAACACCAGTCTTGCATATTAATTACAACGTTGGCAAGAATACAAACAAACAGTTTCAGTATGATTTGCCAAGGATTTTGTTTCCGAGCATTTTTACTGTACATAGTGCGTGAATATAGTATTTTTATGGAGTGATTTCAAATATGATGGTACAGATTTATATAAAATTAACATTGTATATATTAACACCTATCGCTATCTAAATTTTAATCTCGAGAACTGTAAACTAAACCAAGACTAAGTAATCATGAATTTGAAGTTGGTCGAAGTACAGCATTTCCTTTTCAACGTAAATTTTGTGTAAATTTGATTCAGTTCGATTGCTAGAACAATGATCTTCACACGAAATAATAATCCCAACATTTATTGGCCCTCCAAATTTAATTGTAATTTCCTGATATTGACATTTTCATTAAAAATCCTTTGAAACCGAAGGGCATTGGTTTGCATTAATTGTGCGTATTATCCTATATATTTGATATAGATGATTGCAATATCATATTACATTGTATGTTATCATTTTGTTTATCGTTTGTACTTCGATCAGAGTAATATTTGTAGGCTGATAAAATATCACAGCGTCTGCGCATCAGGACTTAATTATAACTCAATATCAAAACGTCTAATAATAAATACAACAAGATAATACCGATGTCTGGGAGCTGGCTAATCTTTTTGTTTTGCTTGTTTCTCGATTGCTAGTGTCTTTTATTATCAGTTCGCAGCTTGGGCTTTATCCATGTATTGGCTCTGGGTACATCGTATTTTCCCCCTTACATATGGGTTAATCAATAAGATGTGAAACTGAATAAGAATTGAATGTAAAATATTTAAGTTGTTGTTCTCATTAAACTGTTGGTTCACCATACAATATAACGTGTAACGTCATACTTCTATTTATCATATGGCTAGCTTAATTAAGGTAAAGAGTGTTGTTTTAATCATTGTCACTACTGCGAAAATATCTTTTTGAGCCCATAAAAAAACCACTATAAAAATCATATGCTGCGATGCTTTTTCCAGAACTATGGTTGTTCAACATTTTGCATGTTTGAAAGTGAAGAAAACCTACAGGATTCGAGCTCACACCTTTACATTGCAAAGCCTACATTTTAGCATTGTTAATTGTCTTCCAGGAAACATGCGTGCAAAGCATCAAAATGAATCTCCAATTTATAAGGTGTAAAGTTTATGAATACTAATAACTTGCACAGGTAAAGTTAGTCAAAGTCAAATACATGGCTTTCGGTTGCTTCCTCCTCTGTATAGTTGTCACCCGTTATTCCGCCACCTTTTTGCCATTGCCAATTTTGGCGGTATAACGTGGGTGACGATAAAACGGGGTTTCAGTAAGTCAGTAAAAGTATCCTTTTATATTATGATATCTACGGTAGTGTGTTAATGATATGCCTAATTACCTCGTACATGCTATAAAATGGTGTAGCAATTCGATCAAGGGGGTACGTCTGTTTTGTCGACCTGCAGTAGCAAACGTATTTTCGTAAAATGTTATGAAAAAAAGACAAAACCGAATGACATTCAGGTCTGTTGTATACAATACTCGGATATACAAAACATAGTTCTGCAAAGTGGTACTGAATTTATATCAGTGGACAAGAAAAAAAATGCTTCTAGCATTTTTGAAATTTGTTCTCAGGGAAATATGCAAAAAAACCTTCATTAGGACTTATTTATTTACAAAATCCTGCAATGCAAAACTATCCGGAGGCGAGGTTACATAATTACTATCCTGAATGCTGTTTTAAGTGATTGAAGTAATGAGAGCAATGTCTTTTGTACTTTTGTACCTGTGCTAACAAACCGAAATCGAATGTCATTGAATTGAGTCCCGAACACTTGCAACAAATCTGACATATTCACAAATATCAAACGCATGTTTACTTATCTTACAGTTGTGCTGAACGAAAAACAGAGGAAAGCCAAACGGAAACTAATAGAGGACAATAGGGACAAACGCAAAACGGAGGCTCAAAAAGTAACAACGAAGTCAGACTTGTGTCCGCATGACTCTCTTACAGACAATGATAAACTTCTAATAGCGGAAGTAGTGAATGCGTACGAATGTTCGGCTACCAAGATCCAAACCAAGGGTCAGGGGGTAAGTGGACATTTGTTTTAAGTTGTATCTTATCATGTGATACTACTTACTGAATATCATTTATGTTTCTTATAATGAATTTTATTGTATTTATTATGAATCAAGGTTCAAGTAAAGGTTTTACTCAATGGTATCATTGCTCGTCAATGGTTAAATCAAAAAGCATGTTTTTTATCATTTTCAAAACTTTAAGGAATTCAGCGTGTTAATTATTTATTATAATATTCTAATTTTATAACAATTCTACCAAGTTTGAATTAGTTTCACAACATTCTTTTTACAAATGGCAAACAGAATGTTTAAATGTATATACTTTCTCAACTTTGTTAAAGTGGGAATGTACACTTTTAAAAGACTGTTGCTATTAGCGTAAACATACGGTAATTAAGTTTATTTGAAGAAGGAATGATAGAAGATAAAAACACACCTGTTTATGTCTGCATGTGCTCTTTGCATAAACGCCATCCATAAATCGATATAATTTTTGTATTTTTGGTACATATTTTTTTTAGTCTCTTATTTGCTAAATATCACCTATATTATCTATAGCTTTGCTCTATCTTGCTAAAATCGGTATGAACCTTATAATGAGTTGCTGGCTCCAACTTTATAAATAGATATTTCATGAAAAAGTTTAAATATAAAAGGCCAGTGGAATGTCTCTATCTTGATACTGTAACCTTTCTCTTCTATCCCCCCCCCCCCCCCCCCCAATTTATTACCTAGAAATTTGATAAAGGTTGTACCTTTTCAATGATTTAGTGTGTTGATACAAAAAGCCAAACACACCAAATAGTTAGCTGCACCAATTGGCTTTTTGGTCCATGGAGCACACATCAGTGGTACTTAACCCTTTCACCACTGTAGACCATAATGGACTCAACCAGATCAAAGCATGGACGTGTTTACTAAAGTTACATAGGGGTGAAACGGTTAGGTCAAACGAATGAAAACACATGTCTAAGGTGCTCCGAAGGAATAAATGCATATAAAACTTCTTATAAATAGATATTCAGCTTTTGATAGTATAGCCTGTGTGTATATTTGTTGAGAAATTCATAAAAACAAAAGATTATATCTTAAAATCATTTATATGGTACCGTATCAATAAAGACATCAATATTTCCCGGAGATGAAAGATACTACTTTCACTTAATTTTTTACGGAGTTTCGCAGAAAAACAAAATGTATATTATGGAAAAAAGAACATACCAGTTATTATGATGACAAAAAATGAAATGTTTTTTTATATCGTTACTGATAAAAAATATAAACTATCACTCTAACATTAAATCAGTGATGCTGAAAGTCATGCCATAATAAAATTTCATAGAATCATCACCAAGTTCTTACTGAACTTTCATTTATACAGTAAGTCGTTGTCCATGCATCTATATTTATACGACACTGCCTTTTTATGTATCGCAAAATACAGCGGATATGTGATTATCGTCTGCTGTGAGTGTATGAGGAGGAATTCATTAATAAATTAGCATGATAATGAGGGGGAGTTTATGATTTTTCTCCAGTAAACACAAAATAACCAGAAAAATGTAATCGTTAATCTACTTCGTCTGACTTGTAAGATGATATTCCTTGGACGGCAGTGTCGATTAAAATCTGTCATAGGGCTTTAAACCCAATTTCAGGAAACAAGACCTTCACAAAACACGGAATTAATTTAGATATAAAACATCATTAACTTGGCATTCGGGCGTAACGTTTTGCTCTGATTAAGTTAGTATTTAGCATACTTATTGTCCACAAGTTATCAATACTGGCAACGAATGTGACCATATCAACAAGCTTAATTATATTTAATTACATTTTTATTTACCCAGTTAATTGCAATTCTATATTCAATCATCAAAGAAAGTGTGTATTTGTTCTAGAATGACATCATTATATAATATTTTAATCGTTGAATACAGTTTATATAAAATTTATACAAAATTTGACATGTATCAGTAAGTTTACTATAGTATTAGTATTATAATATAATGACATTTCAAAGGGGATAAATTAAAATTTGGTTGAGAGCACTAATGCATGTCATCCTAGCATACATACTGCACTACTCAATATGGTTATTGTTAATTTCCTCTGACGTCAAAGAAAAACAACCTATTTTCAAAACACAAGTTGAATTTGTAAACACGTTTGTTTTCCTAGAATGTACAATGATACAAATTGTTATACGAAAGCAATACCTAGTCTGTATTGTTTGATATTACATGATGATTATACCATTCAAAATGGACGATACGAGCACATCACTACATCACAAAGATCAACAAGATCAAGACACAGTACAATACAGCTATACAATGTCTTACCAGGTAGAGTGATTCCCTGCCTTGTCCCACACGAAGAGCACATTTCTTCTTTACAAGCGACAACATTCTTTCTGTACGTCCGTCCCTTTCTGTGTTCGGTTGATAAACTAAAACAGTAAATACGTATTCTATATTTATATAATGTGGGGCATGTGTTTATGGATAAGTAGGGCTGACCTTAGGGTGCAGGCGGATATTGTCCTCTAAAGTGAGTGAGGGCAGTGACCGGACACAACAGCCAATAACACCCATGCTTTTAGATGTACTCCAGTTGATAATAATAGCATGCTGTAGCTGTACCGGGGTGAACTAGAGGTGAGGCTTCAGTGTTTTATCGTCCATTATGTATTCTTGCAGATGAGCTGTACTGACACAAACGATCCCGAGGCATGGCAACAACTAGCAGATGCGATGACCCCTTCCATTGTCAAAGTGGTCGAATTTGCCAAAGGTGTCCCTGGATTTATACAGGTGAGACAAGTTCAAATTCAAGTCTTTATCTTCTGCCTCCAATCGAGATATAACCAGTCGATGGTTTACCTCAGTTTTCTGAACCTTCAGACGAATTAAACAAGTGTTTTGTAAGTATGAAGGGGATGTTAAGCAGTGCACGTGAACAAAAAGACATATCGACGGACTGGGTAAATACGTGTTATGACATGGTGATATTATTTAACTTGCAACACATGGTATTTACATTTTGTGAAGGCATTGTACGACACGCGCTGTTACGGAGACCACGTGGGTCACTTCTGAGCCAGCGTCCTGCATTTGGTTATTTTTAGACCGTCATATAATAAGACCTTCGTCAAGATGTGTTTTAAATTTGTACATAATCGAAATATAGTTAAAAGATTTGGTATTGTAAAAAGTACGAATGGTTATTTTCGTACTTTTGTAAAAAATAAATAAAGGGTATGTTACGTTAGGATGATAACTCGGTTAAAATGCTACGACATTTTGAAAATGTATCGCTATTTATTTTAGCTTTTTTGCTTGATAAGTTTGATCCTATTTGAAGTTTCTTGTGTCCCGTCATTCAGAGCATCATCCACGCATGCCCATCACCTACAAACTTAACAACTAATCATTTAACTTAAATATGATATAGAATCCTTTCCAAATTCCTTTCCAAATAGATCTAGTTACATGTTTCTGATACTAAAGAAAACACTGAATACTGCATACTGAAATGAAATGAAAATCAAATAGACTGATATTAAGATAATTGTTGTGTCATGTGACATATATATATCTGGACCAATACGGATAAAGGGCGAATTGTGATGAATGTAGTATCCTATAAAATTCCCCAGTCGATATTGGTTTATTGCATATTTAGTTATATCATCCAAAGACAGTTTCTTTTTATGAAAGAAAAATCATATCCTATTTTATTGACTGGTTCTTACTAATCGTTTTAACACATTCACCCCTGAAATGTCATAATGAACTATACCAACCTTTGAAATGGAAGAGTTTAATTGTGTCTTCAGGGGTAAATGAGTTAAAGTAGGCATTTCCAAAAGTCTTCGTAAATAAAACTGATACATGATATTCAACTTTAAAATATCTCTTTTTTTATGAGAACATGATCTGGGGATTTATTACCAACAGTTAATGGACTACAAATGATATCAAATACTGGAGAGGAAAGAATACCAGGTGAACACTTTGCCACACGGTTCTAATACAAGATTCTGTATATTTGTTATTCGCATATGTCTCCGGTATTCCCCATAAAGCTATATCTATGATTTGTATTTCGAAGTTACAATTAGTCTTAAGTGTAATGTATATATACTGAAATACGCCATTTCATCAGATAGCCATTTTCATGGAACGTTTGTGATGTATTGCAACACTTTCAGACAATGAGGTCTCAAAGGTCCTATGTTCTCTAATTTGTACGAGATTGCATTGTTTCCAGTGTATATCTATGTACTTACACAGCGTATGTTTACAACATAAGAGTGGATAATATACTATGATGACATAGGTAAGTGCTTATTTCAAATATTGGTGATAATTAGGATATTCTTTTTATAAAGGCCTGCAATTCAGGTTAATTGATAATAAAAGTCAACGTTACTAATCTTAAGTACATAAAATCCAGCCGAATTCGTTATTTTTTCATAGCAGATTAATGATAGCTTAATTTGAAACCGTAGGATGTGTAAAGCAGAAATAATTTTTTGCCATTAAGATGCATGTCATTAACCTCCAAACTAATGCATCGAGTTTTTTTTATCGTTCAAATATTTAAATAATAATGTGGACGCATTGTTTGTATATCTAATATGAATTAAGGATACTTACAATAGTGTTTACGTTGATCAGTCTACAGTATATGTGTGATGACATTTAGGCACTTACACAACCACATACACTGCGCAATATAATCCGAAGAATAAATTGATGCAATTTCGTCTGGGAAAATGTAACCACTGCAGCATACCATTGGTATGTTTGTGAAAAAACGCCTTCCTCACTTTTATGTTGATAATTTACGTCGTCAAATTGAAGTTTGGAAGATTTGGGTTTGTGATCATTTTTTGGTGTGCTGCACTTGTCGTGTACGCACTTGCGCAATGGGCTTTGCGCTCATCTCACATAGAGATCAGCGATGAATATTGATGATAATCCTGGTCGTGGATGGGGATGATGAGGTAAATATATTCTGTAGACTGTCTGTATAGTATGTTAGTACTTCAACGTTTGTAAGTACTTTAGATAAAATACGTCTCGTTCTTATTGTGACATTTGAAAAACATATTGAGCTTATTTATGTCTGTTATGTAGTAATTCATGAATTTCTCTAAGGCAAATAGAATTGTTAAGGATTTCCTACTTTTAAAATATAAATTCCAGTATACAGATATATATATTTATTAAGACCTTATACAATTTATAGCAGTTGTAATCGAATATATCTATAAATAAGTAAAAGTTTACACAAATAGCAAGTAAAAGGTCTATACATAAATTATGCATCGGAGTGAGAGGGATGCTCTGTATAATCTTCATGGCAAATCTTCGATAATGTATAAACGGGTTGTCTGTTCTAGCAAACAACTTAAAAGAAAAAACACAGCATTCAAACGATATATCATTAAACATCATTGATAGTATAAGCTTACTATCAGATATAAATTTCTTTACATGTCATTTACGTATATTGTTTGACAAAACGTATCTTAACAAGCGTTAATCTTAAAGATGGCGTCAGTCGTTCTTTCGAAATATCCTAATGTCAGTGGGTGTCTAATAAACAATTTCATTATTTGATTGTATCTAGACACTATCGTTAATAAAACGTTCATAATCCTACATTTGAAAGAAAAATGTATAGATTTTGTGTTTAACATTAAATGTTTCAACACAATTGAATCAATTCAAAGAGATGCTGCTGTTACTGTGTATTGGTTTTGGAATTTTTCAATAGTTCTCAACAACCATACCTGATAACACTTCAGTCCAACATCTACGTTCCGAATATAACTACTACAATATGCTTGATTCTGACATCTTAGTATTCCCGAATTATAATATTCCCTGGCCTTTCATTTGTCGTTTAGTTTTGCACATTGAAATAATAAATTTTACAATAGATAGTTGTAAAAGAGCATTAACTCATTATAAATCTTAAATAGTTCTTTATATATATATAATTGTGTGTGAAAATGTAAAATGTAAATATTTTTAACACCGTCGATGAGATTACATGGAGTGATTTGGTTTAAGTTATTCTGAGATGATTCTTCATGACGAAATAAAATAAGGCAAACAAGATGATATTCTGTTCATGTTTCTTGTAAATTTTTGAAACGTTAGACATGTAAGTAACCTTTTAATTTAAAAAATTTAAATTCAATATTTTTTTATTTTTTTTATTTTCTGTTACAAACTTGAAAAAAATGATATCTCCCATTACTTTTTAAGTTGCTTTATATAATAAACATGCAGTTTGATGGTGGATACGAATCCTGGATTAGGCTTATTGTTTCTTATTAATGATACATTTTAGTGCCTTTTTAGTTGTTTATGTGCGGGTGACCAATTTGTATCCTGAGCTGAAATAGTTTGTTTTTAAAATTCCTTCAAACAATTAAAAGCTTAGCACGAAAACAATATATTGAAAAGTCGAACCTGAAATACAAATAGTTTTGGTTTTTACCATTACTTCTGTCTATTTCTTTGTGTAAACTTCCTTCTGCCATGACTGCCCTGCTTTGGAAGTTGTATTTTAGTCATAAAATGCATTTAACGTATAATCGTGATTTAAAGTTATCATACATAAATATGGAATATATGTTTTATATTATACACAGTCAATACATGTATATTTTATTAACTTTGTTCCGTACGCTACCTGGCTTCCTTTTGTGGTATCTTTAAAAATGTTTCTGATTGATATCAAATTGTGGTACCTCGAAGTGTCTCACAATCTTCACATTTACTTTTTTTTCAAAATGCCATTGTCAATTTCATTTACTGCATCGGTGTTCCCAGTTATAAAGCAAAAAAAAATATTATAATAACAAACCTTAATAGTTGTTTGGCGAACCTGTCACGTTAATTTTATAACCCCGCAGAAGGGTATTAAAGGAGTAAACGTATACTACGTATCTGTTCTTCAAAGATGCAGGAAATACCGGTATTCAGTTTGCAGACTAACTAAACTTGTAATAAATCAATCTGATACATTAATACATTATACATAAGTATTGTATTGAAATACCACCACTTGAGTTGATCTGAGAATATATATCTATGCTGAGAAATTAATGCAATACACGGACATCTAAATCACATATATGTAGCTTCTAGTTATCAACAAATTAAAAAGGAATTTAGAATTATCATACAGTGTAATATAATCAGTTTAATAATTTGTTAATGTTTTTTGTTATATTTCAACAAAACATGATTAAAATCACATTTTATTCTGTGTTCTGATATTATGAACTGATATTAAGCAAACCAATGGTAATATGAACGTCGGGACATAATATGAAGATAAAGAAAAAAATATGGTTTATTTACTGAAGCAGAATATGTAGTTTCCTTTTTACTCTTGTTAGGTTGTGATTTTCGATTCGTAGCTTGCTTTTATTTTAACGTTGTTCTTTTAGTTTCCTAAAGGTTTTATGTCTTTTTTTCACAATGGTTTTTGTTCAAATCAAATTGTTTCACAAAGTCGATGTATTACTAGTCCTTATCAAAGAAAAATCTGTGTATGAACAATAGATACCAATATATTAAAGTAATGCCGTGAAAATTAACGTGCCGTATTTCCTTCAAGTAAACATCACAGATTTTGAATGCATATAGAAAAAAATGTGATTGTGAAAGTGAATTGACGACCGTTCTAAGACACCTACCCTAGCCAGTTTGTGTGGTATGATTAAAACATTTAATGCATTCTCCCAGAGCCACAACCATTATTGAGGAAAATACAAGAAAAAAATGGATAATACAGGGGACACATTTATTAGCTGCACTACCTGCTGATGAAAATAATCGTACGAGTAATTTTGCAACGGAACCCACGCTCTCTGCCTTCGCTTCAATTATTACACTGAATACCTATGACACAGCTTCTTCACACAATTTCCCTTCCTCAGTTTGTCCTTTTTATTGCGTTGCCATAGCATTGTGGAGAGGTCATCTCATTTGAATAATCCATGAGTCGCTGTACCGGTCAGTACGGTCAATCTTTTGCTTTATCGATTGTCCGTCGGCAAACCTTTCCTCGATAGATACCTCTTCCTAGCCGGTGCGTGTCGTGGTCTGGTCATACCCTGCCTGTGTATTAGAACTACCCTAAGGAATGGCATACTTAACACTTGTTTATATCGACAGGCGTTATTCAATTGAACCTAGATCACAATAGTGGTAATTTATTTTATAAGTGTCATCAACATCCTTCTGATATCAACAGCATCAAGCAGTGACAATGTTCATAAGATTAAGATATAATTGAAAATAACCAGTATATCCATATAACTTTTAAAATCTAAATAATTAAGAATTTTGACGTATCTCCCTTTCTGTTGTTACAGCAGGTCAGATTAATTTTGTATTTTCACCTTTTTGGCCCTAAACATCACCAACGAATCCTAGAAGGACAAAACATCCGTATAGTGCAGTGTTATTCATTTTTTGGCATAGTTTATCAACTACCAAATTGTATAGGAGCAATCACATGTAATTCTTACGTACATACATTAACACCGTAACTTTACAATTTCAAGCAATTGATACCGTTGAGTTCAGTTTCAATATTTATGATAACCACTTGTCTATAAAGAACATTTTTTCTATTAAAACTGTTGTTATCTTCTCCTGTGTGTGGTCTTCTTACACAGGTTTAATGTTTTCTACATATATACCTGTGGAATAAATCATAACTGTTTTATACATTTTGTGGTATAATAGGAAACGATTGACAGTTCAATTTTAAACTTTCTCACCAAGGGTGTAAAGAAATCATTGTTAAAGTAATTAATCCGGAGAACCTACGTCCTCGTAGAAGAAATCTGATACACAAACTAGCAATACGAAACGTTATTCCCGTTGGTGACATTTTTTTCACCTGTCCGGGTGGTTTCAGGGTTGAGTTGCCCTGGGCAGTTTTGAAGGTCGTGACCTATGGGACAGAAAGCAGTGGTCATATAAAAAGTACTGAGTGACTCAGACGACATTTAAGAACTAGTCATCAAGTCAATGTTATTCACCATCTAAAATAAAAATAAACACATGTTTAATCGGCAGTGAATATTCAACTAGATTTGAATCTAGGAACACAGAATAGCCATACATTTTATGTAAAACGATTTTTATTACTCTCTAAATGTAGCTTGTATATTAAATAATAATAAAACAAGAAAGAAAGTCTCTGTGGGGTTTTCGTCCTCGCTAAATAATTTCTTCATTAACTAAGAAATAATGTGATGGACGAGGACGAACATTCTTATTCGATGACAAATGTGAACATTATCAACATTATGAGTTTGTAGCAAACATAATGTTCCAAGACAGACAAATACCAATGATCATCTTAAGAGCATCAGCACTTTAAATTGGCTTATATTTATTATTGATCTTATAAATTAAATGCTAACCCTATGGCGAGTTCGTAATGTGTACGGGGGATTTGTTTTCTTGTGGAAGAAATTACGCTACTTCCTTTTTTCCGCAGTCCATGCTGTCTCTCTTTCTATTGGTGTCTTCTGGTGGGTCTCTGTTGTTTTGTTTTTTCCACATTTGATTTGAATTTAAAACGTACTTTTTAGTTATAATTTAAGTATTTTTTTTGAAGATATCATTTAATGGTATTTCGATAAAATGGCTAATGTAGTTTTGTTTTTAAAACTTCAAATTAGTTGATGTATTATTGAAATGATGGACCATATTTTGAAACATTCTCTTGCAAGAACATTGTATGTACAATATTTACATACAAATATGTACTAGCATGCATGATGCATAGCTTTTTTAACAGCATTGTGATACATGCTATACAAATAATTTGTCTAGCATATAGATGCACTTTTTAATTAACCATTATACCAAATACTTTAAATCGATGTAAACTAAAACTTAGTGAATATTTTATAGAACAAAGAACAACGGTACACATAGCGTATGATTGGGAACTGTTTATGACCAGCTGTAAATAGGCCACTAAAGGACCTGTTGGTGATATCACATTATGCATGACTGAGCTTAATGTGTATGATATGACCTGATGAATGTCTATAAATTATACAGAGATAGTGGTGGTCAGTGGTCAGTTTCAGGTCAGGTCAGGTCAAGGTCTTTGCTGATATGTAATTTATCATAGCTATTATTTACATAGTCGATCCTAGCAATTTACACCACATTTTACCATATTCATCAACTTACTTGCCAGTGCGCAAAGTATCTAGATATGCTGAACGGATACTAGCGCTCAATAGTGTCATGATTACAGACTGTAGTCTATTTCTACTGTGATATTAATGATATATATACATGTCTACTCTACTCACTGACCACTGGTGTAGCCTGGCATGGTCAGCAGATCTAGGTCGATCGATAAATGTACACTGCCCACTGGCTTCGCAGTAAATAGTTTACGTAGCCTTTATCACTTCTCGTTGTCCATAGCACGTAAAAAACTACTTCTTACAAAATATCTTATCGAGTAAGTTAAAATATGCTAAATTGTTTTAAATATAAAATGAAATATACTCAATCGATAATACATTTTACATAGCTAAAGTAAAAATCAGTAAATATGTTAAATATGTTTAACTGTTAATATGTTAAATGAAATATTTTAACTGGTGATGTATATATGTTTAAAATAGTACATGTTAATGAGCGAAAGTGAAATGCAGAAAATAATTCAAGAAGTTAAACCGGTAATTATATACATGTTAAAAAGGTACTTTTTATCAAAATGTTAAACCAGTAAATATGAAATATAATTAACCTTCGCTCTCTGAACGGGTCTGCACGGTGCAGAGAGCGAAAGTGAGCATAACCCTGCATATCGAGGATGATACATACAGAAAAAAATGTGAATTATGTTAAAACAAGTGAATATAAAATAAGATCAACCAGATACTACATTTTTTTAATGGGAATTATAAAAAAAAAAAAATGGCTATAAATATGTTTAAGGAAATATGTCTAACAGGTAAAGATGATAATATACACATACATTGTTCTTGTGTTAATATGGTTAATAACGTTTTTAACGTGATGTGCATTTGATTTTAGAATATTGACTACCCAACCTTGTTTCCTCATTTCTTGTTCATATTGCTGTTGTCGTTCTTTGCGACTGTGATTTGAGATTAAGATGACAAATGTACAATTTTTGTATTTATGTACTTACTCGCTCTAAGATTCACAACTGCTTATATATACTTTTGAGAATTCCAGAATATTCTATCAGTGAAGGGCATCTATGTCGATGTACCGGTATGTTAAACATTAATAAAATACACTTTTATGTCCGAGCAGGCTTTATCTATCCATGGGCGAACATGTTTTGAGCTTACATGTTAGTAAATCTCTGTGATAATATTCGTGGTCAAATTCCAGACACCCCGATAACAAACGTGATGGATCCTATCGCGAGAGATAGCGAGATCGTTAGTATATTTCCTTGACATTTTGATACAATTTATGGCGGAAATAATCAGCTCAGGTGCATTGGGTGGGAGAGCATAATTTCCCCATTATCGTACGTATACAGAAGATAAAATACTTTCATCGGATTGGTATGGATTTTGTTTGGTGTTGGCTGTAAAAGGATGGATGCAATGTGTCTGTATCTGTTGGAGGGTATCAATTACAACATCGTGTGAAGTATTATAGCATACAGTCTTCTCTACGCATTGCTATCAATAAGTTGACCATTTTGGATTGGTACTCTTCTGGGGTTATTTCCAATGGAATTCTCTGTTGAGGAAAGAAATCATATGATATTGAAACATGATACATGGTCTCATGTTATACATTAGGATTGACATCTCTTGGCTTATATAATCTGCTGCGCAAACTGTGTTTAGAGCCAGACATATGCCAATATCACAGGTTACGTATTAACATATGAGTAAAAAATGTCAAGCGTTTAAATTACCACAGTCAGTGTTAATAGCTCATTAAGTGGTCTCCTTCTGTGCGGAAAGATTCTTTGATTACTAACAGGCCATAATTCCCCTTCCCAACCCTGTCTCCATTCTTCCTTCGATTCGCGAAAAGGCGAGTTCGTTCTGCATTTGCCAGAATGTTTCCTTCAGGATTCTTCTCGTGCTGTGTGAAGAGATAGGTTGGTTTCACACATGCGGTTTCGTTTCGTGATCCCCTTTTCCTCTCTTCTTGCATGAATAACTTTTGTTTGATTCTTCAAGTGAGAGAACGTTTCTTTAGCATTCGAATTTGGTTCTTTGGAGTAAAAGGTTGGGATAGTGTCCTTCGGACCGCCGGGAGTACTGGTGGATACATATTATTCAAAATTTTAAAGGTGTTGGTCGATGAATACATATTGATTACAATATTTACATAATACATATATATATATATATATAAGCAGAAGGTCATACAAGCAAACATTCTAACGTTATTTATTTATTTATTAATTCATTCATTCATTCATGAATGTATTTACTTTTGTGTAGATGTCAGCTTAATTATATGGTAGGAGTCGTTTTATCTGGCTGATAATTGTGTTAATGTCAAATATGTGTAATTGCCGAAAATAATACCTGATATTTACAATACAAGAAGTAGTATTCAATATGGTATATTTAGTTTTTTTACATCTACTGTACAAAATAAGTACTTCTACAACGACTTGGAATATATTTTGTACTAAACAATATATCTTGTTTATTTTCAGCTATATGTAGATGACCAAATTTTACTTTTGAAATCCTGCTGTATGGAGATTATGTGTCTGCGTGCAGCATGTAAATATGACCAGGACCAAGAGACACTGACAATGCACAATGGCATGACCTTACATAAGTCCCAGATTAAAGCAGAAGGTTTGGGAATTCTCGTTGAACCAATCTTCGAGTTTGCCGTCGGCTTAGCAAAGTTAGACCTCGACAAAACAGAGTTAGCTCTCTTGGCAGCCGTTCTTCTCATGCAATCAGGTAAATACTTTTAAACTGTCTTAAATGTGATTCTAGGTTTAAGTAAGTTAGAACATAAACTATACCGTCAACGCTTTAACGATGCCTTTTCTTTGTTTGTGTTTAAATAATTTTATGATTAAAGAGCTTTGTTTGGTATGAGTTCTTTTACTGGTTATGTATAAATTAACAAAGCAATTGTATTTGCCATAGACAACATGGTTCGTTTACATATATAGAGTGTCAATTTAATCCCAAACCATACCGACAATTGCTAAAGATCATTTACATGAATATTAATTAGGATGAGTACTTATGCGTTTACTAATGAACGTTTTGCTATCAATCGATAGCTTTATCACTCTAACGACATTTTAATCTGAAATTAAATCACTTGCAGATCGTTCCGGTTTAAAAGAACCAGAGGCAGTAGAGAAACTCCAGGATGATGTGTTAGGTGCATTCAAACGTTACGTAGCGGTCAAGCGTCCACTGCAGCCTGTCCACTGGGCTAAAATATTGATGAAGGTGACGGATCTTCGAACAATTAGTACAAGACATGCTGAACGAGTGTTATGTATTCGTCTTGATCATTCAAATGAAATACCCCCCCATCTACTAGATTTGTTCAATGAAGGGGAGGAGTACTTATGAAAGGAAGATTGTTTTAAAATATTTAAATTCAATGCTGACACAGCTCTTGACAATGATTTAGTCAGTGCATCAAGAAGGAGACGTTGACAGGACTGCGGATACTACTGTGCCCTTCACCATGAATATCAGAACTCAATTGATCGTGGAAGTGTTCTGTGCCCTGTACCATGTATATCAAGTCAATATTTAACCATGGTTACGTTCTGTTAGACGTCGACTCGACCGTGTATGTTAGACGTTGAGGTTTCCAACGGACAGCTACGCTTTATGTCATTCGCCATTATTTTGTCAGAGGTAAAAAAGGACAGGGCAATGGAGACATCAGTCTTTGATTGCAGAGACATTTGGATTTAATGCTTGGTCAATCCCTCACAGATTTATTAATGTACAACACACAGGGTTATGTTGTCGGCAGTGCTGTCTTTGCGAATTGTTAACATAAACATGATATTTAAACATGCTATTTGCAGACGTAAACAATTCACAAATTCAGCACAAAAAACTTTGTATCAGCAGTGTTAATGTTTCCGAATATTACGAAAAATATACCTTCCTGGCCAGGATGAAATGCTTTCCAATATAAAGTTATCTTGAAACCAGTGGAATGATAATATTTTGACATCATTTTTAAAAGCATATATTTACACTAAAAGGAATATCAAGGGAGATAACATTTAATTATATAACCATAGAAGACTATAACGCAAACGGGCCAGGCAAAGAACCATTTAATGTCATGTTCAACCAGGCGTTGGCATTATCTGATCAGTTATATATATGTAATTATTAAATGATTTCTCCTTTTAGGCTTTTGCAGCAATCCTCTGATACTTAGATATGTACTGTACACTGCGCCGATATACTACAAATGTCCAATCTAATTGTAATGTAACATCTTATATTCGAAATGAGGTTCATCTGTTTTGTATGAATATATGCCAAGTTTGTTTCCATTGTTTTTTGGTAAACCAACTTTGTATTTAATGCAATATCCAACACTTACTTAAACAGATGTCTTGATGATTCAATTGACCCCTTAATATTTACAGGACAATGGATGTATAATCCACGTTGAAAGTCCCGTTTCATTTTATTCCTAAAACGCCTCTCTTTAATGCATCCATACTGTTGCTGTGTATTGACGCAATCAATATCTACATTTTTGCAAACGTCTATTTCGGAAAATCCATCATTTAAACATGACTCATTTGTGGTTCGTTGTGATTATACACGATATTGTGGATCGAAGGGCTTCAATATCAGTAGTAAGCTTTTTTTATATAAATTCTAACGATACCTATAAAACCTTGAGAAAGTGCTTGGTAATTTATAGCTTTAAGCTGAACATGAGATCTAAGGTTCAAAACCATTGTTGTCAACGTTAAGGATAACAAAAAGTGTTTTTTCCGTAACAAAAGTTAAAGGTCAAGAAGGAATTTCAATAAAAAAATATCTGCAAAGGAACAATAAAATTCTACAAAATGTATATATTTAACAAATATGATATACAGTTATAAAACAACGTATGCAAAGCGTTTTTGTAATTTACAATGTTGCTCTAAATCGCTTTACATGACATGGTTAATATAAGAAATTCATGCCTATATAAGGCATATAAAGCTTCACAATATAATTCTCGCGCACGTATTTGTACCTCCTTTGGACAGGGTGATTTAGTATTTTAAAATTTGTTTATGATGCAAAATGGCTGTAAACATCCAAAACCAAAACCAAACGTCTAGGTTAAACTCATTCACACCTCAAGTTTCATTATGAACTATTCCAATCTTTGATTGGAAGAGTTTAAATGTGTCTTCAGGGGTGAATGAGTTAAATTCTAAACAAATGATATGACTCACGAAACATTTTTTCAACTGATATGTACCTACTACATACATGTAACTCGAACGCGCCTGCTAATTTTGTAATTGAAAAGAAATACGTGTACGAACTTTTGACTTCCTCTGATTATAATACAATTCTTTATTAGAGGATATTTCACCGTTTGGCAATGTGCCATGTTTCTGTTCGGAACAATTACATTATTGATATTTTACTGACAGTGTCATTAAATCATATTTAGTTTTAATATCAGATGCTTTAATGAACGTTAATTTATCGCCATGGTGACGGCAAGCTTTAATATATCAACAGCAATCAATGATCAAATATCGTATATCAGATATCGAGGCATAAAAAATACGTTCAGCACGTGATCAAACATCAGCGAAACAGGTACCGGTGATGACCATATTTGGGTTACACAGATAACTGTGTTACACTTTTATGATATCTAATCAAAAATTGATGTTGTATATTTAATTCATCTTTTGTCCTTATGACGGTATGCGGATTCGTGTGGTATTGCTTTTGTAAATTATATGTACAGTGCGTATTTAATTAATAATTATTTAGAAAGTCTACAATATAATACAACAAAAACTGGCGGCTATGCTTGTTTATATATTCAAACAAAAAAACGTATGCGTATTTCAATATTTATTTCAATGTGACATTTACAAAGAAGTGAAAAACATCCGGCTTTTTAATTTTATCCTTTGATTTCTTGTCAGTTTGTATTTTAAGTGCATTTGTGTATGATTGTATTGTGTATAGCTTATTAGAAAACTAAGTTGGGCTGTTTATCTCCCTTTATCGCCATTTACCTTCCTTGTGGTGTAACGATCTAGATTTGTTGAATTTAATCCAGGACTGTATGGATTTAAAATGATCAACATGAAGTAAAAAAAAAAAAGCTCTGAATTTGCAATTGAACTGATGTAAAATAGATGAACTGGAATCAATGTCATATAATGATTTACTCCTTTAACTTGGCCATGGTAATGACGCGGTATTTACGGGAGATAACCAGTCTGTATGTTGTTGTTTGTCAAGGCGATTTTAACGATGTATTGATGTATTGATTCTCTATTGTACGAGAGATACTAACTATACAGCCGATATCTACCTCAGTCTCTGTATAATGTATAGTTCACATGGTTGAATGTTGAGTGTATGTGTATGTTAGAATGATAAACGAGTAAATAGCTATCCATACTGCTAATTAATTTATATATTTATATATATGCATGAATGAAAAATAGAGCTTTTTAAAACATCCAGGCTTCGGGCGATAGTCTCGTTCCATATCCCGTAAATTTAAACTATGAACTTTATCAAAAATAAACAAATTGTCTAAAAAGTCTTTAAAATCAAATCAACATAATATGTGCTTTCGTAATATTATAATTAACCTTAAATCAAAAAAGACAAGTCTTCCAAACTTTCATACGTCATCAGCTTATTTGGTCAAAAAGGCTAAGTGAGCTTTTACCAAGGCACAGCGTCTGTCGTCCGTCTACCAAGCATAAGACTTCCTTTAGACTCAAAAGTTTCATTCTGAGCTCATACTTGAAAGACTACTTCTTAAATGTGGATGAGGACATTTCAACCGAATTTGACAGGGATCATCTTGGCCTAAGGGAATTCCATATTTTATAAAAGAAGGTTCGGAACGCCTGGAGGTAAAAGTCGGGACTCGATAGAAGACATTTTAGGGGGTAAGATAGTAAAAAGGCTTAATGTTAAGCATATGTGAACAAATTTGAACTTAATTTTTCATGCAGCAACTCTGGGACAAGGAAATTCAACTTGTAGGATGTAGAATGTTGTGCCCACTTGGGAGCAGAGGGGTCGGGTCCAATTTGTGAAACCTTGGTAAATTTTTAAAATTGGTGGTTAATATTTTAAATTATAATGCTTCGGTTCAAATGAAGGGATTTCAAACACACTTAGTATGGGGGATCCCGTGACAAAGTGAATTCGTTTCGTATACTAGTATCTGCAGATAAGTTCAATTCTAATTTGGATGCATAGAATGGGGAAAAGGGGCAAAAATTGCAAGTTGACTTGCATTCAACGACTGCTCTCTTGACCACGTGATACACAAAGTGCTTGCATTGTCCTGAATAGGGGCTGATATTGTTTGAGATGGTTCGGAATCCAATATGGCCGACCAGTCTTCTAATAGATAAGAACAATTTTGCATTCAATCTCAACTCCACCAGGACATCTTAGCCAAACGTCGTACACATTTTTCAATTCCTCGGCTAATGACATTTCCAGAATGGTCCCTTCTACCGGGGAATATTTCAATTTCTTGTCAAGGTAGAAAAATAAAGACCAGGTGAGCGATACAGGTCTCGTGGTACTTTTGTTTAATTTAGATGTAAAGGCTATGTGAAATTGGTGTATGCATGTGTGATGTTGTTGAGTGAGGAGGGTTGGAATGGGAGTGATAGTTGTGATCACAGTTCTGTTGTTGGGTGAGGAAGGTTGGAATGGGAGTGCTAGTTGTGATCACAGTTCTGTTGTTGGGTGAGGAGGGTTGGAATGGGAGTGATAGTTGTGATCACAGTTCTGTTGTTGGGTGAGGAAGGTTGGAATGGGAGTGATAGTTGTGACCACAGTTCTGTTGTACACAAAAAGATGGCTTTCATATCATGTGTTTGAATGAATGTACAAAAAATATGATTATTATGCTCATGTTTAAATTGTTAACTTATGGTTGCACGTGTGAATCGTGTAATTTCACATGCTGTGTGCGCGCTGTACGGGTTGAAGAGGATGCGAGATGACAAACATGTAAATTACTTTTAAATGTAGTGAATTAGTGTACCATGTTTACACCTATACGCCATATATATAAGTATAAAACCTTGTGCAGTTGTGTCTACGAGTCGATAGGACAGAACGTGTTAAACCGGACTCATATTCAGTACTGTACTAACATAAGGCTTTAAGCTGCCTTACTGTGACATGTCTATATCAATTTAAGGCTTGGCACTGCGTGACTGTGACATGCTTATATCAATTTAAGACTTGGCATTGCCTAACCGTAACATGTCTATATCAAATTAATGCTTGATTCTGCCTAACTGTGACATAATTACATGTATATCAAGTTAAGGCTTGATTCTGCCTAACTGTGACATACCTAAATTGATGCTGCCTTACTGTTAAGTTAAGGCTTGATTCTGCCTAACTGTGACCTACTTACATGCATATCGAGTTAAGGCTTGATACTGCCTAACTATGACATACCTAAATTGATACTGCCTAACTGTGGCATTTTTTTTCTCTTCTGAAAACGTGCAACGAGAATTTGACTGCTACATGTGCTGAAGTAATTATATAATTGCTTTCTTGTATTTGTTTTTGAAACAAATTTGTCCGGTTTAACACATGTTCCTATGTAGTTGAATGTATTAGAAGTGAATATCTGTACAGATAAAAGTCATATTTTATCAGCAAGTGTTCGGGCTTAAAACGGGTAATGTATTACACAGATGAAAAGGTGTGTTAGTATGTGTGTGTAATATTCCTTTATTCTTTATGATTGTTAGCAGTAAACACATTACTTATAGGCTGTGTCACATGTGTAGGCGTGTGTTGCTCTCGAGAAATTTGAATTTATTATGAAAAGTCTTAACTTGTTGGTGATATGCTGAATAATGAATTCAAAAGGCAGATGTTTTGTTTATGACACGAAAAACATAGCTCATCTCCTAAAATATTTTTTTCCTGTCTTCAATGTTAAAACAGAAAAAATTCAGATTGATTTTCAATCTTAATTCTTATATTTCGTTAGAAAAAGTTTGAATTATATAAGATAAATAGCTGTGAAATTAGTGTTCGATAAATTGGACGAGGACTTGATAACCAAAAAAATCAAAAGGACTTGAATCGACTGGACCCTCGTCAAACATGTCCGACTAGAAGCCTTGCTTAAGTCCCTAATCGTTTAAGTGGCATGGACCAATCATATCAGGCATATGTTAATCAAATGCCGAAATGAGTCAAACTATCTTTCTTGTCTTCCACTGGGGTTTCTTCTCAGCCTTGTATATCTAGATATATATGTTTGGGAAATTACAAAATATGAACTCATAACATACTTTACATGTGTTCATTTATTTGCTCAATATATCAAACACGTCTTTGAGTATAGGTAAACGTCTGGATACTAAACTTAAGGATCCCTGTCCCATTGAACTGCTGCTTTTGCCCTATACACAGTAACCTCCCCTGTTGGTTAAAGTCATACTCAAACATTGCCAATGCTTACAGTTTTGGACAGTGGTGTGGGGATCCTTAAGGTGTGATTATGACTCGTGTCGATGCACGTGGTTACGATTCATTAACACGTGGCAATGCTCATGATAACGACCGAGAATCTACTCAGTGCACGAGAGTACAACACGTGTCAGTGAATGTAGCTTTTTTAGTGCTTATGAGTAGATACTTCTTTCAGTACATTTGGTGAAAGACTCAATGCTTTCGAGTATTTTAGACTTATTTCAGTGCTTGTTGTAAGTAGTTTAACCAAGCACGGATTCATTTCAGTGTTCGTGAGTACCGAGTTAACTTAATAACACTTTAGTGCTCGTGAGTAAAATATTTACCTACTTCTCCAATCTTTAATACGGTATGTGCCTGATGTTATCATATTTTAAATAGAAACAGTGGACACAACTTATCTCACGTGCCAATATTCTTAATTTTGTATTTCTATACACCCACTTTCTTTCAATTATAGAATTAAAGGTTGTCAAAAACTGTTACCAAGGAAAGCAATTCTTACATCCAGATCATTAAAAGTTTAGACATATTATTTTCTAAACTTGGGCTGCCCTGCCCTTTACTTACACACTTTCCGGTAGTAGTATTACACAATACACTTACACGCTTTGCGGTAGTAGTATTACAAAATCAATTGTTCTACGAGGAGTGTAAGACAATATTATTTTACAAAAGATATACAATATTTGAAGTATTTATAAGTTGATTGTAATATTGGATATACTATAACCTATGAATGTGACGCAGATTGGAGACACTGTATTTAATTATAGATGTAGTATGCTTGCTAATAGGTACATGCATTAAATGTTGGGCATGAAATACAATACGAAACCGGTGCTGAGTGGAAGGCGACACAGCTTTCCATGTTATGCCTATGTTGCTGTAATGTTACTTTACAACACCGGTAAAATAATAAATGTGTATAAACAAATCATATCTGCCTTTGTTTTTCATGTCTTAATGATACGCGCGACTTAACAGTGGCTTGACATAATGGGGTGACGAACATCTGAAAGATATGTGCTATCACATAAATACTGCAGTGACTCATGTCTATTAGTATATGCTGCGTTGACTCATGTCTGAAAGATATGTGCTATTTTACTGTGACATAAATACTGCAGTGACTCATGTCTAATTGGTAACAAAATTACAGACTGGCTGGGAAATTATCTAGGCCTATTTTTAGTAGCGGTCTGTAACACTTTTCTATTTATAGGTCGAGGTCTGTAACACTTTTCTATTTATAGAACGAGGTCTGTAACATATATACAGACTCGTCACATGACGTCGCTCC